TCCCTACAATATAAAACGCCATTCCCTACAATATAAAACGCCATTCCCTACAATATAAAACGCCATTCCCTACAATATAAAACGCCATTCCCTACAATATAAAACGTCATTCCCTACAATATAAAACGCCATTCGATCCCTACAATATAAATCGTCATTCCCTACGATATAAAACGCCATTCCCTACAATATAAAACGCCACTGTATTACTGTTTATGTTTCCTACATTAATCCCGTTTTGTTGGGGCATCGCATACTAACTGCAATCTTGTTGGGTTTTATACTCCAATATCTTATCTTTATTTATCGTTTACTTAAAACGATAGCTACAGGTTAGAAAGAATAATAGGAGTTTTGAAGAGGTAGGTATGTTTGTCTTGCTAGATGTCATTAGGGTTGTATATATGTAGAGACATTATTTTAAATGAGTATCAAGAATTAAATTTTATTCTGATCCTATAGAGAAATTGATCAAAAAGCGCGTTTCTTCCACTGCTTTCAAATGTTTACTATCGCAAAAACATGAAGCCATCAATGTTCTCTAAAACGTTGATATCACAGTAAAATGATATTTTGTTTGTAAGCTTGTGTGCAATGTTTATAGAGATATTTTACTGAAGTGTCTCACGTGTGTCATGTTTAAAGAAACATTTTACTGATGTACTCACACGTGTCATGTTTATATAGATATTTAACTTAAGTGTCTCACATGTGTCATGTTTATAAAGACATTTTACTGCAGTGTCTCACATGTGTCATGTTTATAGAGATATTTTACTGTAGTGTCTCACATGCGTCATGTTTATAGAGACATTTTATTGAAGTGTCTCAAATGTGTCCTGTTTATGGAGACATTTTACTGAAGTGTCTGCACTGTAACATGTCATGTTTATAGAGACATTTTACTGCAGTGTCTCACATGTGTCATGTTTATAGAGACATTTTACTGAAGTGTCTCAAATGTGTCCTGTTTATGGAGACATTTTACTGAGGTGTCACATCTGTGTCATGTTTATAGAGACATTTAACTGTTGTGTTTATAGAGACATTTTACTGAAGTGTCTAACACGTGTCATGTTTATAGAGGCATTTTACTGTAGTGTCTCATGTATGTCATGTTTATAGAGACATTTTGCTAAAGTGTCTCACATGTGTCATGCTTTTAGAGACATTCTACTAAAGTGTCTAACATGTGTCCTGTTTATAGAGACATTTTACTGAAGTGTCTCAAATGTGTCATGTTTATAGAGACATTTTACTGAAGTGTCTAACATGTGTCATGTTTATAGAGACATTTTACTGAAGTGTCTAACATGTGTCATGTTTATAGAGACATTTTACTGTAGTGTCTCATGTATGTCATGTTTATAGAGACATTTTGCTAAAGTGTCTCACATGTGTCATGCTTTTAGAGACATTCTACTAAAGTGTCTAACATGTGTCCTGTTTATAGAGACAT